AGGATAGATGTGTGTCAGGTCACTGTGGCTGTCTGAAGTGGCTATCCCACCGGACAGAGCAGGAACAAGAACTTATTAGTGTATATGTTGAGTGATTCAGTGGATGGAAGTTATAAAAAATAACTCTGTTAAGTTATGAGTATAAGCGTTTTTGTTTTTCTTTTTGGGTTTAACCCATGTGCTATTGTACTCTTTTTTTATGATTTGTCGAATATTTTATTTAATTGTTTTTGTTCATTGTTGTTGTTTTTTTTTTTGTAAATCAAATATTGTTTATAAATAAAACTATTCGTTATTTGTGTTTTCAACAATGGTTCCGATTGACATTTCAGATTTTTTTCTTTTCTTTTTCTCTTTCATAATAAAAACGGATTGTTTTTGCATACCACTACGATGGCAAGTTTCTGCTTAAACCCAGATCTTCATTGCAATACTGCCAGGGCAGTTGGTGAGTCATATTTAAATATCAATCATTCTGTGATATATTTCGTTTCATACAGAAATAATCGATGTTACTGAAGTTCCTCCCTCGTCATCATCAACAGCAACTACTATCGATCTACCTCTGCCACCAAGTTCTCAAATCCATTCTTCATCAACATCCCTTCTTGATTCTCGTCTTCACAGTGACTTATCTGCTCAACATCATCATCCTACTCCCATTGATCCTACTTTGGTACTTTTACCACCACCAATCTTTTCCTCAGTTTCACAGCTTCCAATAGAACATTATCGTCGTCTTGATCAAGCTAGTTCGATTTATTTGGCGCCACCGCCACCAAGTGTATGGTTGGGATATGTTTTAATCCAACGTGATACGATTCTAGAATCTTTTAGTAATGATGGCCATTTTTCTATGGATCCTGTTTTCGCATTGCTCTGAAACAAACGAAACGAGATGCAAAACTTCACTGAAACTATTGGAAGACAAGCAATCTCTCTTTAGTCACTGAAAAAGAAACGCTACTAACTCGTGTTTGAAAAAATGAAGTGACATTTTTGTAAATAGTTACCTTTGTTTTTCTTCTTTGTTTTTTTTGTTGCCTTCTTTTTCAAAGTAAACATTATAAGTTTCAGCTATGAAATCTTCTATGTGTCATTTGAATTTGAATGATGCTTGCTTATTTGCTTTTTTTCATGAAACGTTCTAGATTTCCTTTTTCACATTCAAATATCGTTTTCGTCACGAATGAACAGCCAAAATCATGAACCAACAACACCCGAAAATGAATCTCCGTTGATATCCACAGAACCTCAAAGCTCATCAACTGTTTCGACACCGATACCTGTGCTACCTGGTCAAATCCTTACACAAGCAGACCGTGAAGATAATCTCATCGATGGGATGGATGAACTGGTTAGAGATTTTTTACGTCAATCCAATCAACGTGCTCGTTTTCATACAATGTTTCGATGGACACATGATGGTGAACGTTATCTTCATTATAGTGTTGTAGTTGTCATTAATGAACCACCACATCTTGTTTAAAGAAACAACAACTGAAAGAAATTTTTTTAGGAACAATTAACATTTGAAATAGAACAAGAATTAGAACTATTGTTGTTTTGTTTTCTTATAGATAGCTTTTCCGACAAGGCATATACCAATTGCAATGAATACATCGTCGCCACAAAACGAAAAACTGGAAGAAGTAGGACAAAAAAAAAATTATCCTCCTTGTTGAACAGTTTTGTTTTTTACTTGTCTACTCTAACTAGTTGTCCGAACGATTATTTGGCTATTCCTTGTCCTCAAACTTTATTCGAGAAACAGCCGTTTCGACACCTCATGTACGGCCCAAGAAGCCTTTACAGGAACATTCTATTTACGAACCATTACTAATCAGCTGGTCACAGAAAAATCAAGATGAAACATAGAGTGAAGAATTATATTAAAATAATTGTAAAAAAGAGTGACTTTTCTGTAAATTTCGTGTTTAAAGATTCAAAAAAATAGAAAATAAAAAATAAATCGCATTTAGCATATACAGGAGATGTCCCAGAAGATAACATGATCAGTGAAATTGATGCTATTATCCATCGTCATTTTACTCGATCTCGCCATCAATCACCGTATTACTTTAGTTTTCAATGCACCATGGAGGAGAAACCTAATGTTGATTATAGTGTGAAATTGACTATTCACAAACCTTCTGTATAATATTTATATTTGAGAAAAAAAACTCATATCTTATTTTAAAGACTACCCCCGATCATGTATCCTATTAGATCCTTAGTGAATAGCAGTTGTTTTAATTAAAAACAATCAATTGACTATTGGATATGACATTAGGATTGTGAATAGAATTCAAAAGTTACTATTAATTTTGAGAGCTGATATTCAATTTACATTCGAATACTCGTAAAACCCTCTTATCTGTTTTTATTGATACTTGTTGCTTGATGAACTTTCGAATAAAACAAGCAGAGAAGCTTGACATGAATAATTACCTTGATTAAAATATGAATCTATTGTTTTAGATTGAAATTGTTTCTTAGCAATTAAAAATAATGACATCGGAAGGATATTCTTCATTGAAAAAGAAATACTATACTCTTGAAGAACAAAAACTTCTCAATTTTATGCGTCATGAGCGTTCTCAATCAATAGAGCAACGTTAGTGGTCTTATTTTCGATATGTACTGTAAAAAACATTAGAAGATTAGCTCTCTTTTTTGTTTAGCGACCTATGTCACAAGTTCTATTAATGAATTCGATAACAAGCGAACTGGATCTGAAATCATCCACTTTCACACACCGATTCGATTAGTCGATACAGGAAAAGTCACTCTCGATCATATGGCTGCAGACATTCGTCATTCATCCACCGCAGTTCGAACTCTAGGTATGTTTTGTTTCTAGAATATTTTATTTTTGTTGATGTGTATTTCATCGGTCATTTTCTTGAACTAGTACAATCATCAACAGGCCATGAGTACATTTCTATTGTTGATCCATTATTAAGCAAGACGCTAGATGATAATGAAAAAATTATTAGACGACCAAGTCCAGCTTCCAAGAAAACAAACTGAATCTATTCTTTGTTTGTAGACTCTTACATCATGATCTTGTTTTTTTTTTGTTCTCTATATATTCATCTATGTTGCAAAATGAAACAAGAAACTTTTTTTTATATGTAGAAAAATAGCGATGAATTTCATCGTATGGTTCCTTTATTTTCAGATTGTTTCAAACGTTTACAATGTCAATAATAATAAATGTCGACGAACTTGTTCATAATGATATATTCTCATATCCATACGAAACACGTAAGAACGCCTACTTTTATATACTCTAAGTATCACTCAGATTATCGATTTGTTCCATAGTGATCATACTCGACGATGATGATCAAGATAACAATATCATGGTTTCTACGATACTTCCAGATGTCGTACCTTCCAATGGTGTAGTTGCTCGTCGTCGTCGACACGAAGAATTCTTATTAGATATTAATGGTCATCCTTCTGTGGTCAGCCTAATGGGTACCAATCGAGATGGCAATGGTCAGATGAAATCAGAAGTGAACGAAGGAGAAGAGGACCATATGAATCAGAATGATGATGGTCTAAGTGACATTTCGGATTCCGAAGTGGATGAAATTTTAATGAAAACACTACACTGAAAACAAAAAAAGTACTTTACTGAACTTAAAAAGGGTTCGAATTTTGAAACGAATTCTGAACCTTTTTACGATGCTGTACCGAACTTTGAAGGTTTCGTAAAGTCTCACAAAACTATGCTCAGGTTTTTACCGAAATTAAAAAGGTTTCGTGTGACTTTACGAAACCTTCAAAGTTCGGTACAGCATCGTAAAAAGGTTCAGAATTCGTTTCAAAATTCGAAACCTTTTTAAGTTCGGTAAAGTACCTTTTTTGTTTTCAGTGTACCATGGTGTTATGTTGACGATCATGATGATGATATCTTCACGGGATCGGACATGCCTTCAATCATTGTTGATACTCCCAATACGTCTGACGAAGAGTAGACTATTTCCTTTCTCTTTTTTTCTTTTTGTTACTTGTTTTGCTTTCATTCAAAAAAAATTGTTTGGAAATGGTTTTGAAAATTTTGTGACTAAGATTTCTTTTCATGGAAATATCTTCAAAACGTTTTTCTTTTCTATTATAGATTGATCATATATAATTGAAATACATCTATTCACATCGCATAAGATCGGTTTCAAATTCCAAGTTCTATTGTAAGCATTTGTCTTTGAACCATAAAATAACTTTACCCGACTATACCGATATGTAGCCTTTACCTTTACATATAGAACTCATGGAACGTCATCAAACTCAACAAGATAATAATGACCATCTTAGACCGAACGATACCGAACATGTATGGAATCCATTGACTCCACCATTAAGCAATGGAAATAGTCAACAGCAACAGCTAATACATGCTCACCAAACAGAAGATGAATTGGCAGATGAATTATTTGAAAAAATTCAACAACTCATTTGTGATTATATGCGACAACCTCATCGAGACTATTTACATTGTCGAGTTCTTCGATGGAGCATCCAAGAAGATCTCTCACGTTTGTATAGTGCTGTAATTGTTATTAATCCACCAGCGATTCGACGTTAACGAACAATTCTAGTTGAGTCATCATTGTGACAGGTTTTTGAAATGCATACATACTTTGTTTTTGTTTCTTTAAATGAAGGATTATGACTGTTGTTCTATTTTTTTTTATTCTCAGTTATACTGATATCTTTGAAGAATATTGTTATAGATTATTTTCATGATCTTCAGAAAAGGAAACATATTGAAAGAAAAGTTATTGATTTGTTTTCGATGATCAGGACTGTTTTTGGTGCAAACCTTCATCTAACGAACTATACGACAAGCAAGCATCACACGAACAACATCACCAACAATAGTCGAAGAAGAAAAAAAGCTACGAAAAACATAAACTACAACATTTCCGACGAAAATATTATGTTCAGAGCATGAACAAGCAGACAATCCCCGTGTTGATTCGTAAAGATAAAGTAAAAGTTCAATCAATGGAGGATGATCAAAAAATAAAGAAAAATCGAAAGATAAGATTGCTTTTTCTCATTCTCATTCTGACAATTATATGACACTCGAGTCACCGAAGAATAAACACTCAGATAATGAGTCAAGTAATTGTCTCGATAGTGACTATTGAATTGATGAATAAACATTGCTTTTATTCTATATGTTCTTGATTATTTCAAATGTATTTATTTATATAGTGATCATTTTCAATCTCTTTCAGATAAACGAATAAAATTGAACGTTATTTTACTATAAAATTCAACATGTCATTTGTTGTTCGTCCAAAGAAAAATATTATCGATCTTCGGCCTATACCAATACAAGGACCGGTAAGAAGAAAACAAAACTCAATGATTATTGCGAACACTCTATTTTTCTATTCTTCTGTGTGTCTTCTAGAAAAACTATAGTTATCGTTGGAAAATGATGGCCTTATTAGAATTAAATAAAAATGGCCAGGTAAATAATAGTAACTTATATTCATCGACTTTGTCAAATATGATGTTGTTTTTTTTATCTGTAGTATATGTTACCATTCTCCCGAAGATTAGTTGATATTGGTCTTCCATTATGGCCGAGAAGTAATATAACAAAGGCACCATTAGGCTATGAAGAATGTGGCTGTATTGGTTGTGAGACGAAAACGTATAGAGATCACATTCTCAAGGACAACGATAATGAATCAGAATATGGTGATTTACATTTGGAAGAAGTTTCTGTTCAAATTAAAGATGAAAAGTAAGTTTTTTGAAGTTTCAGCTCATTTTATTCCTTTCGTCATCATATATTTCCTTTTTTAGTCTCGGTCATGATGACGAGATAAAATCATCGGGTAATAGTGTCCAGAATGGTGAATCTGAATCCTTATCATCGACATCATTTGATAGTTTTAGCATAAGTGATGATGATGAGGATAATGATGATAATAATGAAGAAGATGAAGGCGTTTCTATATCAATGTCACCATCTCTTTCATATTCCCCGTTTCTTGTTGATCCTTATGAATCCTATGATTGGGAATGTTGATTAATTTTGTATATAAATTTGTATATTGTTTCTTTATTCTCTTTTGTATTGTATGAGTGTGAAGAATGCGTTTCTATATATATATATATGTACGTGTTTGTATGATTGATGTTGTAAATAAATAAAATGAACAAAAGAAAAGTAAAAAGATACCTATGTTTCTTTTCTTTGTTGGAAAACAAGTCATGATGACACTCTCGTGTTGTTTCCTGGTTCACTTCAACGGACCTCTGTCTAGTTTTGTATCACTTCTATTACTATGTCTTCAAAATTTGATGGACAAGGAAAGAAATGATAAACACATGCGTCTGAAAAATCTATCTCATTCTCTTCATTGACATGTTATTGTATGCGATTTCAGCTATATATAATATAGATGATCTATTATTCCGAATGTCATTAACAAAAACAAATGTTCGGAACTAATAGAATTATTGGCAGAAGTTGTCCGATCTACATTAAATATTGATGGACGAAGCGATCGGTGTCGACAATCTCTCTATATGAATACAATATCATTGCAGATAGTCGTAAAGCTATCATTTTATCTCTAATAGATATTAGTAGCTATAGCCATACTGCTGATTTTTTAGTAAATTGGTTTGAATCTGTTCTGGCTAGAGTTTCTACGCGTGTTAACATCATATCAAAAATATATGCAATCGTTATCAATAATTCTAATACAATATAAAAAAGATGTATCACATTTTAATTTCTAAACCGTAAATCAACATATTGTTGAATTACGACGTTTTGCTCATGCTATTAAGTTGATGAGCGGTAAGGACTTTGTGTGATATCGTTGTCGAAGCTTTGAATATAATTTTAACTATCACAAAAAATAAATAGGACCAAACTAATTTGAATAAAAACGAAATCTGATTTTTTCTACTTTGAAAGTAGATTTTGATTCTTTTCAGTCTTTCTTAATCGAATTTTAAGAGAGAGAGAGAGAGAGAGAGAGAGTTTTAATGTACAAAACTGTATTAATGGATCAAAAGAGACTAAATTGAATTGAAATCAATCTTTCAAACTAAAAAAAAAAAAACAAATCTCAATCAGAATAAAATAGCATCACTTTAATAAATTTTTTCTCAAAAAACGACACAATTTATTCTGATTTTTTCCTTAAAGTTTCATAGATGGACTTTGTGTCTTGCAACTGATCATAGCTTGAAGTCGCTATTATTCAAATTGTTTGCAAGTTTTATATATCTGATACAAAAAAAAAAGGAATTTTATTTGGTTCACTTATATTGTTTATCTGCATGCAAACCTAAGCACACTATCAAAAGCATTAAGTAGCATGGGTTATAGTGAAGTGTAACTAGGTTAACCATGTACTAAAATTAACAATACAACTAAAAATGTTAAACGATCTCACTCTGTGAAATTGATCACCGGGCTATTTTCTTGTGAAAGTTTGTGTTGATGGTTGATAATTCTCAAGAAGTTCGAATATCTACGAAGAAATATTAGCCTTTCTATTTAATATACAGTTTCGCTTCACTCTAGTGTTCTTTTTCAAAACATTAATATTGTCAGATTTTATTCAACTTATAATCATTATGATAACACAGTTTTTACTATGTTGTTACAAATGATCGTAGTGTTTATGCAGTTTGATAGTGTAGAAATGCTCTCTGTAAAAGAAATATACTTATAATAGTGCTATTCTAAATCGAGCCGGGTATGGCTATCAAAAAGTGGCCCGATTTCGAGGCCTACTAGCTTTCTAGTTCTCCATGCTAAATGATAATGCACATAAAAATTCGTTGTCTAATATTACATTACGGCTTTTTCAATCATCCCACCCTTCGGTTCTGCAAGAAAGATTATTTTCAATATTGAACTGACATGATACCAAACGGTATAATCGTCTTAATTAATTTACACTTGAAGTACTTGTTAACAAGCACGCATTTTACATAAATGGATTGAACAATGTTGATGAGGCCGTTGATGTTCGCTATTTGGAAGATATTTTGGATTTAGTGCATAATTCACATTCCAGTTCTGCTACTGTAGACGAAGAAAATAATTCTTCTATCAACGCAAACGATTTTATACAATGTATTAATAATAATTATCATATTTTGCGTACAAAACATGAGACAGAACATATTAATGAAGAACAATATGTCGATCAAGAAGATATCCCTGAACGTGATAGTATTTTGAATACTCAAGATCGAACATTTCAACAGATATTAATTTATCCTGATTTTAATGAAGATATTCAGTGATTAAGTTCTGGAGATGGTGAAATAATTAAAGGTGAACCTATTGAAAAAGCACCAAATAAAGATTATGATGTTGAAGAACTATTAACAGCTACTATGGGTATATAATAAACTAAAAATAATTAATTTTCTATGTTAATTTTTTTTTCTCTTGTTCATCTTGTATGTTATATTAATTTTTTCTATCTACTATGCTGAATTTTGAAATAAATCATAAGTTTCACACAATGCGGATACGTCTTTCGGCTAAAATAGTCTTTTGTTTTATCAGAAAATGAAAACATTTTAAAAGTGAAATATAAAAAAAACACATCTATACTTCAGAATGTAGCTTTACTACCTTCACCAAATGAAATTGAAAAGATATAAATGTAATCTATGCTAACAGAGTTGCAAAAAATCATGGCTATAACTACAGTTGATAGTCATTACAACGGTTGATAGTTATTACAATGGTTGATAGTTATAGCTGAAATAACTTTTCAGCCTAAAAGCTGATGGGTTACGACTCAAAAGTTAAAACTCGAATTATAACGCGACTAATTTTAACTCCCAAACTGACCTAAGCATATTTCTTTGTTAAACAACTCTATTGCAATCACTCATCAATCGTACATAGTGAATCTCATAACTCGAATACTCGCTTCTATGTCATATCTCCTACTCATAATTGTTGTGTTGTAGTTGTTCGTTTGTTTCACCTCCGTCATATTTTCAAAAATAGTCGTCCATATCTAGTATATTGAAGCGATTGTGTCATATAATGTAGTCAACATGTCGGTGTGAGCTTATCATTTCATGTAGTCAGTTTGCCGTTGCAAGGATATCACCTGAGATAGTTCGTATGTAGAAATCAATATGTCGATCCGAACATGTCCACTGAGACAGTCAATATGTCTTAGTAAATGTGTCGCCTGAGATTGTACGCATGTTATAGCCAATATGTCGGCGCAAACATGTCACCTCAGATAGTCAATCTGTCGTAGCAAACGTGTCGTATGCAATAGTAACTGTATCGTAACAAATGTGTCTTATGTCCTAGTAAGCATGTCGTAGTAAGAGTGTCGTAGTCAGCATGTCGTAGTAAGAGTGTCGTAGTAAGCATGTCGTAGTAAGAGTGTCGTAGTAAGCATGTCGTAGTAAGAGTGTCGTAGTAACAGTGTCATAGTAAACGTGTCGTAGTAAGAGTGTCATAGTAAACGTGTCGTAGTAAGAGTGTCATAGTAAATGTGTCGTAGTAAACGTGTCGTAGTAAGAGGGTCGTAGTAAACGTGTCGTAGTAAGAGTGTCGTAGTAAACGTGTCGTACTTATTGTATGACCTATATAAAGGCTTGTTCTTTTGTTAATCTGTTCATTTTTTAAAAAGCTCAACAACGACAACAACGATGATTACAAAATGACTGATGCTTACAACATTAATCAATAATTATAAGAAATTATCTTCCATAGGTATGCTATTGTTTTAGTTAGGGATTTCTCTCAGACTTTTACCATACACTCAAAAAGAATATTTTCTAGTTTCGCGATTTGTTTGAAATAAGTTCTACTTATTCAAATGATAATAGAACAAACAAAAACATATTTTCAAAACATAAACCTTTTG